CAGGCCCTGCCCTTCCCTGGCCTGCCTTGCCTTGCCCTGTCTTACCCTGCCTTGCCCAGCCCTGCACTGCCCTATCCTGCCCTGCCCTTCCCTGCAGTACCCTGCACTGCCCTTCCCTGCGCTGCCCTGCCCTTCCCTCCACTGCCCTGCCCTTCCCTGCCCTCACTGCCCTGTCTTAGCCTGCCCTGCCTTGCCTTGCTTTGCATTGCACTGCCTTACCTTGCCTTTCCTAGCCACGCCTTCCCTTGCATTGCCTAGCAACGCCTTGCCTTGTCTAGGCACGCCTTGCCTTGCCTAGGCACGCCTTGCCTTGCCTAGGCACGCCTTGCCTTGCCTAGGCACGCCTTGCCTTGCCTAGGCACGCCTTGCCTTGCCTAGGCACGCCTTGCCTTGCCTAGGCACGCCTTGCCTTGCCTAGGCACGCCTTGCCTTGCCTAGGCACGCCTTGCCTTGCCTAGGCACGCCTTGCCTTGCCTAGGCACGCCTTGCCTTGCCTAGGCACGCCTTGCCTTGCCTAGGCACGCCTTGCCTTGCCTAGGCACGCCTTGCCTTGCCTAGGCACGCCTTGCCTTGCCTAGGCACGCCTTGCCTTGCCTAGGCACGCCTTGCCTTGCCTAGGCACGCCTTGCCTTGCCTAGGCACGCCTTGCCTTGCCTAGGCACGCCTTGCCTTGCCTAGGCACGCCTTGCCTTGCCTAGGCACGCCTTGCCTTGCCTAGGCACGCCTTGCCTTGCCTAGGCACGCCTTGCCTTGCCTAGGCACGCCTTGCCTTGCCTAGGCACGCCTTGCCTTGCCTAGCCACACCTTTCTTTGCCTAGCTACGCCTTGCCTTGTCTAGCCGCGCCTTACTCTAAGTAGCACTCAATTCTGTATCAACTAACATCGGCGTGCAGCGACCTCAGAGTTCGTCGGGGATCCTCGCAGTAATATAGATGTGTGTGAATATATATGATTCAATCTTATCTATAGACAGACTCGAGGTTTGATGGTTAGTTTGAAGACGTTTTATCATATACATGTTTTATATTAAAAACATAATTCATTTGAGCTAATCAGGCGTTCTGAAGAGGCTCAGTTTAAAAGTGTTCTGATAGAATCTGAAGACCAGTGCCGATATAATATGCCAAATGTCATAACGTATTAACCGGGATATGAGATTCTTACGGCGGTGAATACAAAGTTTACTATATTATGGGTTGTCGCGCCATGTAGTATAGGAGAAGTTTGCCAACGCTACCGATGCTCTTGATGCCTCCATTATCAGGACGATCGCCGTGCAGTAAGCCCCTTTTAAACGATGGTAAAATCCTGCCATACTGCACGGCGCTACAACCCAGGCGACAGACATCAACGTACTAACCGTTTGTTGGTTTTATTTTGTGTTAATTTCCTTCATATTTTAAGCCTACAATGAGGAAAAGGAACGGAAGGGAGAGAAATATAGGAAATTAAAAGAAATGGAGAATGGTGGGGAAGTATGGGAAGTTTGAAAAACAGGTATGGAATGATGGGAATCCTCTGTGGGTTTTGTGAGTGAACGAGTAGAAGCAGAGCCCCTAATATATTTATGTAGTCATAAAATCAAGATACCTGATGAATAGGTCTGCTGTAGATGGTGTGGCAGGACTGAAGTAAACCACACGAAATGTAAGATTAACATAACTAATGGTCTATATGAAATAATTGTATTGAAATCATACGCATAAATAAATATTTTTTTAATATAAAATCTTTCTGGTTCAAATTTTTTTCCGTATTGTTCCTGGTTGTTGTTCCGTAGCTGATTGTCCAGAAGACAACGGCTTTATACGTGTACTTACAATTGCTGGACAACTGTAGTTTGTAGTCCCTGAGTTGGTAGTTGAAATAACAGATCAGTACAGCCTGAGGTGGAAATACTATGTGCTAAATGTAACGCACATAACGTATTTATTTTGAGAGAGTATTATAAGAAATAGATAATTTTATTAGTTGAAATTCCAACGGAATAATTTCCTTACTCTCTGAAAATATACAATTATATTGATATCAGACTTCTCCTCTTAAAAGTGGCCGTTTTCATGTAATTTTTTATTGTAATTGTTGTCAGCCTCTTGAAATCCCAAGAGTCAGTAACAACTACTGTGCTCAGGGAACAAAGTCGTTCTTGAGGAGCTAGCAATACGTTCAGTTGTAAACGAAATTCTTCGTATTTAAGGAAACTGAAAGTTCATTACCGTCTTTACAAGAACCCTAAAAACCGGCCTCTATCCTCAGCCACATTAATCTAGGCGATTATAATTCGAATATATCCTTTGTGATATTTTATTGAGTTTAATTATAATTGATGAACTGTTACAGGGTTAACGTTATCAGGGAAAATTAATTTTTGCTGTCGTCATTGGAATTCATTTTCCTATCTTGTTTAAGGTAAGTTTGACACGTTTGCTCGAGGTACTGGAATTCTGTGTAGGACTATATTACTACTCGCACAAGTTTGAATGGTTCAACGGTAATTTTATCTCAACACTGGGGCATATAAAAGGAAACGAAGATTGCCTTTTAGATACAATGCAATTAACCAGACCACTTGCAGCTGATGTATGAGCCAGGATAGCTCAGTCAGTATAGTGACTAGCTACGGGCTGGACGACCGGGGTTCGATCCCCGACGGGGGCAGAGGATTTTTCCTCTAGCCTCTGCGTCCAGACCGGCTCTGGGGCCCACCCAGCCTCCTCTACAATGGGTACCGGGGTCCTTTCCCGGGGGTAAAGCCGGCCGGGGCGTGATGCTGACCACTCACCCCCATCTAGTGCCGAGGTCAAGGAAGAGAGGAGCTATACCTCCACTCACCCCAAACGCCTACATGGCGTATAGTGGGACAAACTTTACTTTACTTTACTTTACATTTACTTGCAGCTGATGTGCTCCGCTACCTATGTCACTTTGCCACTAAATAGGTGAAAGTGTCTCGACCTAACGATCTACGAGTTAACCATAACAGGAACGTATTCCGAGCGAGTTGCTCCATTATGTATTCCCGCTATTATCTTCATAGCCTTCAGCAAAGCCTGTTGCATATATCGGAAGGAGATGTGTGTAATACTAACAACAGACTCGTGGTTTAATAATTAGTTGGCAAATTACTTAATACAGGAGGAGGAACTAAGAAAGGTCTATAACTTGGTAACTTATTAATGACATCAACCAAGTAGGACAGAGGACGGGGTGTGTTGAAAAGCTGCTAAGGAGCCCAAGTTAGCCTGCACGGGGAGCATCTTCAAGCAAGTCTCACTTATGATAATAAACTGAACCCAAAGTGGAACTAAACTTGCAAAGGCAATTTGTTTCTAAGACACTCATAGTTTACAAGAGTGACGTAAGATACACTAAAAGTTTTTTTTCTTTCTTGTTTCTTTGGCCAAGAAACCGAGGACGTATGTTTTTATTCGCGAAGTCTCAAGGTTCAATTAAAAACATTGCTAAATAACCGAATTAGGGAACTTATTCAGCCGCTTAAAGATTTTCAAATTTCTGAATAATCTGATAATCCAACTGACCTTTACGAATGGCGACAGTGACGTTATAGTAATTTGGAATCAGTGGGCGTGAGAAGAGTGTGTTCCCCTACGGCTGACGATGACGTCATCGCGGAGGATTTACATGGAGATTCCCCCACTTGGTAGTGCAGAAACTTGACAATTTTGTTGCAACATTTAGTTGCAAACGAACGTAAAATCAATAAACCTAACCTGATATGAGCCAATAAAGTTTAATTTACATTTTCGAAACATATTTCTCAGGGGTTTGTTTATGTGGCAATAAAGTAATTCGTCTTTTGGTTCGTTTTACAGCATTTCGACGCGGTTATATTTTGTGTCTCTTCAGCTGTGGTTGTGGCTTTGTCTTTGGCCTTCAGGTAACATGTTATAGATATTTATTCTTGTAATTTTAGAGTTGTTGATAATTTAAACACATCGTTTATGAGGCTCTTAACTTTAGTGTATTTTAGTTCTTACCCACATTATGAAATACTGACATTTTATACTTGTAATGTGGGTTATTATGATCCGATTACTTGTGCAGTTCGTTCGTGCATATTTTGCAGTCTGTCTCATGAGCTTGATCTTAGTCGCCGTGACTGAGTTTGGCACTTGTCTTTATTGCACAAGTTTAATTTCTACAGAGAAGGGTTAGGAAAGCTAAAGCGTTACAGATCTTGATGATTGTATTGTTCTGAATCGTAATGCTTTACCCGTCGATTACGAAATTAATTCTGATCACTAAACAAAGAATGTGATTTAATTAACAAGATCGTTATGATTTGTACTATCAATAATGGAGTTGTTAGTCTGCAGGTCAAACACCATGAGGATGGGAAGGAGTTGGTGTGGTTAAGTGAAACAACTTGAGTAATGCTTGAGGTGTTTGCAGCTACGGCGGTTCACAAGCACTTCACGTTCAAGAGACTGAGACACTGCTGCTGTGTGTGACACCAATAGCAGTATATTGACTTCAGGATTCGTCTTGCTACTCACACAGCGTTCACAGGCGTGCAGAATAACTGAATGTCAGTGTTGGTTCAACAACCAACTGAAGTCAGAGACTGACTCTATCAAACATATTCTTTATTTTGATTATGGTTTTATCTCCCAATAAATAACCTGCTATTAAGTAAGAGTATTTATTATCTGTCTTAACATAGACACACACTGAAAACTAAAATTTCCTGGCAAATATTAATGGTGGTGACCACAACATTAATTTCACTTAAACGTGCCCAAACATTTTAGAGATAAAACAAGCGGACTGGCAAACTTTACCGTCCCCAGTTTATAGACTTTATGAAAAAAGGCATACTAGTGCTAGACAAAAATACGTGATTCCCCGTCGTCGCCAAACAGTTACATCAAACAACGTTAGATATGAAGATGTGTAAGATCCAGCTCCGAGTCATTTTAAATGTTCATTCCTCAGGAATGGTAACAGTAAGGGTTATGTAAACTATGTGTAAAATGATCAGTAAATAAAGACCTTTAAGAGTATGTAAGGTATTTTATTGTAATTATAATTCTTTATGCCGTTATTGTAATTTTAATGATCCAATGTGTACAATTTTCAATGCATCTGCCGCGTTAAGCGCCCGCCTCTCGAAAACCGTAAGAGATGAATTGGGACATGCTGCTTACGAAATGCGTATTAACTCTTGAGCTTTCCATATCTGTTTTCAGATTTTACATATCACAAATGGTTTAGGTTCTACAAACATTTATTTACACAAATAAAGGCGCAATCCAATCTCGTCATTTGTTTACTCGGCAACTTGAGTTCATTTTCTCCCCTACAGGAGGCAGAACAGTCACGACTTTAACGCCTCTCTCACTGTTATACCTCTTTTAATACACATCGAATCTTTTAATTAAGTGTAGCTCTGTAGATTTGTCCTGGCGTTCATCACGACTTTTTTATAATCAACAGTAATTTGTTTTAATGTCACGTTATTGAAGGATAAACTACTGTCAATTAAAACGTATCCTAAAGCGAGATTCGAACCAAATCCGTCAACAAACACAAAAAAGATCCACGCGGATTTATGTTTAGAGGTTATCAACTATTTGAAGTACAAGAAAGTAAACTCATAGTACTAATACTACTAGTACTACTCATTCGATATATTACGATTACGAAAACTATTACGAAAACTGACTTTATGATCGATTTTAAGACGAAGATTTGCAAGGGTGGAGATGGACGTAAAACGTTGACTGACCAAGCACATTTGGCCTCTGAACAGCAACGTAAAAAACTAAAATATCAGACATATTTAACAAATAAAGAAATCGAAAGAAGACTTACATTGTTAAACGAGATCATATTAACAACACACGTAAAAAAAGAACACGCTGGAAAACGAAGTATTAAACATCAACAGAAACCGACAGACGAGAAACGCGAAATTATCGAGAAAGTACGACAAGGACTCTGGACAAAACTATTGATCTGTAAGATATAAACAAAAAGAATACAGTCTGAGCATATCTTTCCATCCTTGTGTTTGTGGTTGCATGCACTATTTAAGTTCTATAATTTATATGACCGCAAGGCATTGCTGCATTGTTGATCTGTTCTTCATGTAGTTTACTGTCAAAAGCAATAATTGTTTTGCTGATGGAACTACTAGGGGCTATTTTATTATCAGTGGAAGGTGGATACGACATCAAAGCGTTAACAAACCTATTTGCTGATAATTACACACAGCAATTCACACAGCAGACCGTGCGTAAAACTGCATATACTTCACCGCCAACCTGCCCACTGGCACAGTATGCTTCATTTGTTTTCTTCGTTCAGAAGTTCACTTGGTGTAAACCATTTTTAGATTTCTCAGGTTATAACGGCTGCGCGACTGTAACATGGGACTCGAAAAAAAAAACACATTAGAAACTTAATAATTGTCACTCTTCATTAAATATTGTTACGCTAATCAAATCAAGGATGGTTAGAATGTGGCACGCATGCAAGAAGTAAGTGCTCACAGCGTCTTAGTCAGAAAACGTAAAGCGAATAGACAACTTGGAAAACATTGCCGTACATGATAGTGTAATATTAAAATGACTCTTACACAAATTGTGTATGGGAGCGTGAACTGAGTTTATCAGACTTTGTGTAAGAACTAGTGCCGGACTCTTGTGAATAGAGCGATGACAGGACATTTTTTGCTCATCTAAACGAGGTGGCTTCTAAACAAGGATTCTGCTCCGTGGAATTATTAGTTTAGTTAATACGTAATAGTAGGAACATGCAGATTTTAGTGTGATTAAATGAATGAGGATTAGATGAGTGTGGCCTATAGAACCCATGGAAGAGATAAATGTGTACACACTTGGCTGTCTTCTGGGTTGTAGCATCTTCGTACTCACCGTAGATGGTAATGACAAATGTAATGAGATCATGTGGTGAAACTGGGCATAAATTTAAGAAAAATATCGAAATGTAAAAAATGGGGTGTGAATATATGAACTGTAACGACTCAGAGTAGAATGCAATGGACGACTAAGTGAACAGTGTAAGAGGTGTGACAATTACGTAAATTCCCGGAATGGACCGAAAAAACTGCATGTAATTACTTACACAGTATAATGGTTTCTGTCTCATTTGAAGTAGTCTCTTTCTGCACCAATACACATAATAATATGGTGATTCCGCTCCTCTAAATGTTTTTGGAACTCCTCTATTGGAATGTTCTTCAGGTGGGGCGTTGTATGACCCTGAATGTAGGCAGTGTCTGAAAATCTATAGCCCTTCAAAGCGGTCTTCAGTTGTGGGAATAGCCAAAAATCACACGGAGTATATTCTGGTAAATATGGTGGATGATCCATTACAGTATCGATTTTTAACCAAAAGCTACCGGACAGCAAGCGTGTCATGAAGAAGGCATTGCCAAGAAGCAAGATCCAAGAATTACGCCAAAGTTCAGAACTTCACCGACGGACATCCTAACGTAACCTCGCTGAAATTTCCAAATAACAATCCTGGTTCAGTGTTCGGTCTTGTTCAACAAACTGAAATTGAACAATGCCCCTGCAATAAAAAAAATATTATCTAGAAGTCTTCCCGAACCTCTTTCAGCCTTTTATGCCACTCAAAGACACTAGACATGTCATAGCATGAGAAGCCTCTGTTAACACCTGCAGAGTTACACTCTAGATTTTTCCCATGTTTGCAAAGAACTTGATGTTAAGCTTTGCTCCAGATACCTACCTCTCAATTTAACGCAGGGACGAAAACACAAGCTTCTATAACTCTGCTAGTGATTCGCTAATACTGTCTTATTTACTTCAACAACACACAAGATGCAAACACAGGCACGTCGTAACACGTCGCTGCTTATTTATTGCTGTGTCAGTCCAGGTTCGATTCCCGAACGTTCTGAACCTTGAGATGAGGGGTAAACCAAGCTTTGGCATATTAATCTGGCTTATATAAACGAAAGAGGTGTGATTAGATGATATTAAGTGCGCCTTACTTCATCCAAATTTGAGTGATTTTATTAATTTTGGCATTGTTAAATGTATTAATTTGGAAGAGAGTAGCGACACTCAGTCGCTTGAACGTCTCTCCTCCCAACATTCCGTGTAACGGGAACGTGACTTTAACAAAGCTTTCGCACTCTTAAAAGTTGTTTACGAGGCGAAAACTGAAGCCCTTCCAGATGTGGAATGACGGTTGCCCTACAATCGTTGCCTCACTGCGACTGGAACATATGAAATTCGAATGTGGCTTTTCGGCGCGTTTCCGACGTCATGGGGTGAATTTTGGGTTACGAATCGGATCGCCGAATTAAATTCAAAATTTAAGAACAGTTACGTTGCGGGGGTATTTATAGCGGGATTGCGTTGGTGCGAGCCCTCAAAAATTCTGGTTCTTCAAGTCAAGCAAACAGTCTTCAAATTTCAAGTACAAATGCAACAGCCGAATCATCGCGCTGCCTTCATATCAGAGTAATTGGTTGTACAGCAGTGTGTCTCGAGGCACAATAAAAGGGGACATCTCCAAGGTTACTTCCGTATGGTCTTCAGTTGCTCAACCCCAGAGATTTCACTTCCTTGGCGCAAATGCCGCTCCAACCATCACAGTCCCCGTATATTCCATGACATTCGGAAACCCTTGCTCTCCGACAAAACCTGCACCAAATATCCCTTTATATCCTTCCGCATACCCAATTTTTTATCTCAAGCTGTAACCGCACACAAACCGGGCACGCTACTGGGTTTGATCCTGTGGCGACCAAAGTAAGAATACGAGTCGTTGTGCGGAAGGGCGGTTGCATTGCTAACTCGCTACTCGATGCGATACACACAAGAGCTTCCAGTAACTTAATTTTCAGACCTCGTACTCTCGCATATATCTTCGGGTAGCAATAAGAACATTATTTTGACTAGATAAGCCACTATGATATTTTAAGATAGACTATAAGTCAGTGGAGTATGTTTCAGAATTTAACCCAGGCTGAATATTGATCGTGTGTACTTTCTGATTATCAGACAGGTACATGTTTTTGAGACGCACTGTAGGGACACAAATCCTCGTACGTTCATTGTGGATGAAATCCATTAGCTGAGCGAGATTGAGCGCAATCTACTGAGCGTCGGTGGCGAAGAATTAAACAATTAAACCATAAATTTCCAGTAGCCCGTGAGAGGGAGCTTTAGGCAAGTCTCACAGAATACTTTTATAAATTACCCAAGGGAAAGATTAATTAGTGTAACCTAAATCCATTGCAGAAATTAGTTCTACGTGCCTCATCTACCTTTCTTTCACTATTTTTTTCAACTTAAAGACTTGGAAGTTGGTCTTGAACGTATAAATTTCATTCTCTTTTTTACAAGATTTAGTTTTGCTTAAGCTTCCTGGTTCTTACATGCGTTTGGAAACACTGATTTAGGATCTCCGATAATATCAGCTACCCGAGCTTCGTTTATTCCTGGTCGAACTCTCTTCAGATTGGTTTGAGAATTCGACAAATAATATATCACATCTGTTCGGC